ACTGAGATGATGCTTCTCTTCCTCTTCTACTCCTCTCTATTCCCATGATTCCACAGAGGTAATTTAACCTCTGTCCCACAGTGTACCTCTTTGCCTTGCAGGGATCACCATTCTCACTTCTCACATCTCCACCAATTTCTAGGCTTCCAAGAACAAACAGAAGGCCACTATGCCCAAGGAAGCAGGAAGAGTCATTCAGCATTCTCATGAGAAGCAGCCCTGAAAGAAAGAGTTCTCTCCCCCATAAGCAGCATTTTTAACACTTAGCTGTAGTCATGGAAAACAAGAACAGTGGATCCTGCACAGCTGGTGACTCAAGTGTCTCTAGTACTGTTGAAGGCCAACAGTGACAACCTTTCCAAACTAATTTTTTCCACCTTGTTGGTTTCAAAATAGTTCCAACAACTGCTAAAATTATTTAACTCTATTACCAATGTGATTGCTAGGGCAAGAGAGCAAAACAAGGGCTGTTTAGAGCTTCAGTGTTTTAGTTTTCCTGCTCCCCTTGAAAAGAGTCACCCAGTAATTTTTTGCAGGATCCAGCCTATTATCCATCTTATAAACAGTTAAATGCAAATAGGCAAGAGACAAAAGAAAACTTAGGTAAAACCATAAGAGACTTGGAAAACAGTTCTTTGGATTGGTCAGTCTGCGGCTGAATGCCCACCTAATGGAGACAGCTTCTCAGCATTACCATACTCAAGAGTGATGCAGTATTTCTAACTTTTGTGGCTTGCAATACAACTTTTAAATACTATTTATGATGGGCATTTAGTAATCAGCAGCCATCATCATCAGATGCACACACAGACTATAAAAACTCTATAAGATGGCAGAGAAAGCAGAAGACGACTTCAGAACACACAGAAAGAAAAGAAGTTATGGAGAAAAGACATGGAAGATCAAGTCACTGTAACACCTCCCTCATAGGCAATATAAGCAACAACAGAAAAGCACCTAAGCACATTGTCATGTACAGAGACAGCCAGCTCCAGCAAAGGGCACTGGTAACTGCTGACAGCAGCAATATGTTTGCACAACCCCTTTCTACTCCAGAAACAATATTCACATATTTTCAGTTTCAAAGAAGTAGTTCACTACACCACTTGCTGTTTACATGGGATACAAAACGGCAAGTTACTTACACAGAGGACTAGGAGGTGCCAGGTGTAAATAGATTTGTATCCTACAAATGTAGTACTGGAAGGAGAGCTCATACAGGAATGGTTTGGCAGGTTGCAATGTTGGAGTAAGGAAGATTAGCCCATAACTCAAAGCCAGTTTAACATGCCACAGTAAGTTTAATCATCTTAACAGGCTTTCTTATAGCTACTTTTAGCACTGACCACGGAAACAGATTTGATCAGTTCTGGGTCCACATTTAGAAGAGTGTCTCCTCTTCTTCCAAACAGTTATTATTTGGTCAGCTTACTTACCCTGATCCATATTACTCAAAATCAGAATGCAGAAGAGGTTTTTGTTGGTGGTTTAAAAAATAAAAAAGCAGCAAATGCCAAACATGAAATAATTGTTCATGTGCATTACCTTGAACTGAAATAGATAATTGCATATTGCTAAACACATTGGATATAATTTGGTGGCTACTGAGATGTGCCTGGAGTCTGCCAAACTACCACTTAGCTGAAATCACAACTAATTTGAGAAGCTTATTCTGTCAAAGACATTATTTTCACCAATATTCCCAAACCCATCAAGTCAGGGCATGGATATCTAGAGATACAAGTTTCTTGAAGATCTCCTTTTTTCCTTTTCCTTCTAGGTAAAACCATGAATTGCCAGTGATTCGCAGTATGCGTTAGTCAAAGCACAATTAAGTCAGATCCCACTGTGTGTGTACACACACTGTCCAATCTCAAATAAAAGGTATAAAATGTGCATTATTTTTTGTTGTCATACATTTAGTTGTTATGTCTGTTTCCAGACTGTTAAATTACACCTCAGTGTTCTCAAATTATGGAAGTGATGATACAATCCTACAGATTGAAGTCTTTCTCTTCTGGCACAGGATCCCATAGTGATCCATGACAATAAGCCAAAAGGTTCAGGAAACAGTGATACAAAAGGCTGAGTATTAATTGCTAAATGACTTGGATATTTTTGTGAATTCTCTTTAGAAACTGGCCACCAACTCTGTGAACTCCAGCAACTGAGTTTTTCTCGGCTGTAAAGAAAAAAAGAAAAAGAAAAAAGAGAAAGAAACAAAAACTCCCACACAAAACCCACCACCACCATCAAATCCCCCACCCCCCCCCAAAAAAAAAGAAAAAAAAGGAATGAGAGAAAAGAACAAGAAAAAGAAATCAACAAGAAAAAGGAAACAAGAACCCTTACCTATTCTTTTTTTCTTGTTCAAACCCCGAAGCTTGTGCATTAACCATGGCATTAAGGTTGATTTGTTTGAGATGTAACACTAGGTTTTCTAAATTGTATGAAAGCATGTTTAATGCTGAACTACTTTCTCATATGTGTTTGTCACATAGTTCTGTAGTCTTCTCTTCTAACTCCTCTCCATATTCATCACTCAATTAATTTGTCTGTTTCAATTCTCTGGTAGAGGTGCATTTTCACATCATCAATTAAAAGCTCAAGTATCTACACTTAATAGTCCATGTAACATTTACACCTGGCAATAAAAATTCTTTAAGTTAGCAACTGATCAAATGAACGGGGAGAATTACTTTATTGGCTGTAACCAATAAGAAAGCATTTATAAAACCTAGAGGCAAATACAACTCAATTTAAAATCATCTATCCTAAACCCTAACCACTGAACTTTCAAATTACAGTTTCACAGGTTTCTACTTGTTCATTTTTCTTCATGGACTGATTAGTTTTCCTTCCTTTTCTGATTTAGATCTTATTCTGTAAATTACACAAAGCTTAGAATTATATTCAGAGATACGCATTTTTGTGGTGGGGTCAAGTGGGAACTCAGATATATACATTTTATGTAAAGGAATCTTGACCTCCTCAGCATAATGTCAACGACAAGTACTGCTGTGCATACAAAGCAAGCTGGTATAAGCCCATTTTTCTTTAAAGCATTATAGCAACTCTTAAAAATGGTTCCTACAATGAAAGATACTGGAGTTTGCAGATAATACCTGTATTTACTTATTTTTATTCTGTTCTTGAGCTGCAACTTTTTACTTCATGTGCACTGTTCCGAGCGATCCCAACAAAGATTGGAAAAACATGTTATTTTTTTCATTTCAAGATAGTTTTAATTAGGCAATTACAGGTAAAACATTGAAACAGTTTTTATGGTGTTATCTACTATGTCATCTTACAAGGATATGATGTAATAAACCAGTTACAAACTTAAAGACATATTTACATTATATACTCAAAGTAACAAGCTATATTCATATTCTTTAAGCAAACACCTATGGGATGAATTAATTAAATTATACATCATTTAGTAGACACAAATAGCAGTTGAGGTTTAATGGAAACAATATACACATGAGGCACTTTGAGGTCATTAGGGTGAAAAGCAAATGGCACCAAGCAAAAGAAGGAAAACCATGTACAGCTTATACTGCAGCTTTAAACATGAAGGCTGCTTTTTCACCAAATGCTTTGATTTCTTTAACGAACCACAACTTTTGCAATTAAGAGAAATTTTCAGAAAAAAAAACCAAACCCAAAATGAAAACCCAACAGCCCCCTCAACCCCTGTTTATATTTGTAAATGCACCAAAGTTAACAAGTTTTATCCAGCCAGCTGCTGGACTAATAGTACCATAAGGCATCTTTTTAAAGTTCTTGTTTTTGTTGCCAGCCAGTAATCCTGATCTTCATTTTACTAATATGAATATATAGCTGTACTGGCTGTACATTGTGCCGTAAGCTTGGAAAAGATTTAAAGTCTAATTTAAACCTGGGCATTGTTTACACAAGTGTTTGACAGTATCCTCCAGGTACACACAAACAGATCATTCTGAAGAGAACTCATCCAAAATGGGAATGTTATATTCTAACATGCACAATTAAGGCATTCTTCAAAATACCTTTGTTTCTCTAGAGGAAACTGCATTGGTTAAGACTGTTAGAAACATCTCTTCTATCAGCTCTCAAAGAGTTTTATGACATCTTGCTCTTTACTAAACATTTATCATAATAATTGTAATTATTATTAGATATTGCTTTAACCATGCACACAGCTGTACTGTGTATCCTTCACAGCTACTGAATTTTATGTGTGAGAGCACACATCCACCTGTGCATACTCACAACTTGATTTGTATCACAAACCGAAAGGCCAAATTCCCTCTGCATGAGCATCAAAACTCCATCACTTTGCTGTGGGAAGACCTTTGAGAGGGGAAATAAATAAAATAGTCATCATAAAAAAAATAATAAAACCCCTTTCTTATAAGCCCAGTGACACAATCAAAAGAATTTTCATTTCATTCTTTGTCCTTATGCTCCTGTGACAGGCCATCACAACAATTTTAAACCTAACAAAATATATGGTTAAAGGATTTTTACTTCCATATTAACAATAAATCTTAAGAGGCGTGATGAGCTAAAGCATTCTGGTCAGATTGCAAATGACTGTTGTGTAAATTCACGGCTGAAGCATAACCTAACCGTGTGCCTCAAGCTGTGCACGGACAGGCGGGCACTGCGATGGCACCGAGCTGGGCCCGAGGCCGCCGAGCCTTCCTCCAGCAGATGGTGCCCGAGCAACGCTGTCCCCCAGCTTCCCCACTGCCACGGGAAACAATCTGCACCGTAACCGCGGCTTTCGAGCGAGGGAACTTCATATTCACTGATGGCTTCCAAAGGCTCGGCTCTGACAAACTACAGCACCGATGTTAAGGGCAAGGATTACAGATCGAGGAAGAAATTTCTCCATTTCCAAGTGCTCAAGAAAGTATTTCAGAAGAGACAGAATGAATGTTACGTGCCGCCAGAACCAGAAGATGCATGAATGCAACAAGCTGTTCTGGAATGGGTATGCTCTATGTCTACCTTCCACTGCTCATTTCCTAAATGTAACAGTGGGTAAGATCCCTAGCACCAGAGGAAAAGTACACGTGCATGCTGCTAAAACCAATCCTTACGCAACCTCGGATCCTCGCACTCACTCCTTTGGTCTCTCAAAGCAGGCAAGCTGGCTGACACTTGCAGCACAACAGGAACAAGCAAGCACGGGCCCATCAGTAACCGTTTTTAGATGATACAAGTCTTCAAAGAGAAGAGCAAAAGGTGAAAACATTTTAGCAGCAAAGTGGTTAAATGCAAGGTGAAAATATTAATGCACACATTTAATAAAAATATTAAAGGATATGTGTCATATAAAATACAGTACAGGACCAGGAGTTCCACTATGTTGTATAGTGCTCAGAGGAAACTGCTAAAACTAATTGCTTTCTGAAGTATATATACACATTTTCTTATACAGCCAGCAAGTTCTTTTCTTAGGTTGTTCATACCTCTCCACCTTGAATTAGGAACCTAGCACTTACAAATATTAAATTCTTCTCATTCACTAGAAAAACATCACCATTTTTTAATGAAAGTTGTTTTTAAAGTTAACAGTCTATTCTAGGCAACCAAGTTTAGCTGAAAATGTGTGAAGCATGAAAACCAACCAGAGTAGCAGCACTCAAAAACATTAAACAGTAAAAACCAAGACTGCTGCTACCAGGTCATATTCTTGGACTTCAGCCATCCAATCAACTCTTAATACAAAACTAGAAGCTCTTCCATAACTTCTGTAGTTATCAAGATATCTGTTGTCTTTTTCAATGTGAAATAATAATTTGAGATGATCTATGTACACAAGGCGGTCAATTCAAGCTGTAATATAAATATAAATGTTTTCTTTTAAAAAGTATTTTACAGACAGTTATATACATTTGCTCACTTCTGGGCTACATGGGAAAATTCAGGGGCTTGATACATGCAGAAAAATAATTACACAAAATATACTGAAGAAATGCATGTAAGTGAGAAAAGTAAGTAATGCATTTTTTAAATAAAACTATTTGGTTCTGTGTTTAATAACAAGGGTATACTAAAGACAATCTGTCCCACTCCAGCCAAGATGTCAAACAGGCACCTTTGCTAATGAATTATAACTGGATTTAGTGTTTTACATGTTTTTAACAAGTAGTATATGATTTTTTCTTCATAACACAGCACAACATGTAATGCTTTTAAAAATTCTCTGTGGGTTAATTGATTAATTCTTACCTGAAAGTTAGGCTTACCAAGTACAAAATCATAAGAATTACCATACACAGTATACTTCATACACATGCACACACACACACACTCTCCAGCCTCCCTCCCCAGCCCCGCCTTCAAATTTCCCCAATTAAGAAGTTCACTCAGTTTTGCCTGGGCTGTAATTTATTTCTCAAGCTAAGTCTTTTGTTGTTCTTTTTGAACAAAATACACAGTACTTTTGTTCTTGCCCGTTCGAATTAGAAAAAGTTGTGGTTCAAAATAATGAAAACAATTTCACTTTTGTTATTAATCTTTTGTTTTAATCATAGTACTTGATAAACAGCTGAACAGGATCCTAGTTTAACAGAAGGATAAACAAGAACACTGATGACAATTTGTTACAACTGCCTTAATGTACCTTTTGCTTAATGAACATTTGAATATGCAAGAAAGTATTTTTGGAGGACACCCCAAAAGAAAACAACTTGCTGGTTGAACAACAGAAACAACATCCTTTTTGCTATTATGTTGAAATCAAAGTAATTTATATATAAAAATAAATGTTATGTTCTAACAAGAACATTTTAGACAATTACATCTGTGCTTAACAAAAAAATATTGGTCACTCAAGACTAGAATAATTAATATTTTAAAGGTTTTTAGATTATCAGAATGCATGGATACAACTCAACACAAACTGTAGCTGAAGGGAACCAGGACTGAAAATATCAATTTGTCCATCTGGAATAAAAATGCAACTAAATTAACTATTTAAAATACTACCATGGAATGTGACAGTAGATATGGTCCATACCTACTATATCAGAGGGAAGGAAAGTTTAACATGTAATAATTCGTACCTTACACATTTAGTTAAATATAAACATTTGTTATTTATACATAAAGTTGCTTCCAAAAAACTATTAATAAGTGATTTAGTTGCACTTAAAATCAGTTTCATTTCTCATTTGCTGAGTATTAACTTTTCTTAATCTTAAATCAACTGTCACTAGTGCACTTTTAGTTAAAATTTCCCCTCAGATAAGTTTTAATCCTTTTAAAAGAGCCCCCTCACCTAAACCATGAATGTACAAAGTGGCAAAAGTTAATCCCTTTTAGTATAATCATAGTTTATATACTCATTTTATAGCCAATAATAAGAACAGGCTTTCCTTTGCAAAATCTCCTTCACAACTCGCAACAAATGCCACGCACTCAAAGGAAATAGTAGTTAGGCGTGGCTAGCACTTGTAAAATGCCAAGGTCTGACAAGTCTTGTGGCTTCCTCCACATCAAGCATCTCTTACGTGAAAGAAGATTCCCTTCAGCTTGCCAAAAAGCTTCCACAAATCCAAGTTAGATGCTTCCTGGAAACAAAGATTTTTCAGCTCTGTTTGGCACAAGACTGATTCATCCCGCAGCTTTATGCTTTCCTCCACAGCACCCACACACCTCACCACAGTGATGGCATGCTCTCAAGGGGAGGTAGCAGCACATACACGGAGCTATGAACGAGAGTGCCACCAGTGCTAACCAGCGTAAGCAGAACTTGTCATCACTAGTGTCACACGAGCAAGGATCAGAGAAATCGCCTTCAGAGTCTGACATGCAGTGATACAGCATGCTCTCTGCGCAAAGCATGCAACTAACTTGGTAGATACATCTTTTAATAGGATCGGGCGCATCTTGACATTTTCCTCTGCCATTATCTTCATGATTAAACCTTTCCTGGCAGTATATACAGCGGGAACGCTCACCATCCTCTTTCCTTCTTTTTGAGTTTTTAAATTTTGATGAGGAAGGCTGAGTTTTAAATACCACAGAACTCTTTGAGTCTTTTAGGGAATTCAACTTAGTTCCATCCCCACATGGGTATAAATAGTCAGATTTTTTACTGTCTGATTTAGAAAATGGTATATTTGAGTCTGCATCATCCCTCTCCAGGTCATTCTTCCACATGTCAGGATGCCTGTAGTCTGCATAACGACGTATCAAAATGTCACGAGGGTTTATTCTGACAATTTCATCTTCGTCCTGAAAACTAACGTGTCTGATTGACTTCAGTGGGACCTGAAATGGCAAAGTAAGAGAAGTTCACTATGGTGAAGTCCCAAATTAATGTCAACCTACAATGTAAAACTTAGATTAGAAAACTAAAAAACCAAGTCTTTTTTCTCTTGTTGCCTGAGGATAAAAAATTCAGATTATTTTCTCACTGCTACAATTTACAAACATCCCCACAGTACAGAGTCTTCTGCAGGGTATTAGGTCTGTGAGCTTTAGTATTCTTTCCTGACTTTTTAGTGTCTCATAAGAGCTTTGGGTATTTTGGTGTCTACATAAAATTTGATGCTGCTCTGTGAATTATGTTTAGAGTGTTAATATCTTAAAGTGAAAATTAATTCCACAGATTAATTTTGCCTAATGTGCTGATTACATGTGATGATCTGCTGCTTTAGGACCAACGCCCTGATACATTCACTATTGTGTTATCCAGGAGAGGCTTTCCTTAATTCCTGCTGTAATTTTTCAAATTCTCTCCAATTTATAACGAGAGTATTGAATACTGGTAAGTTATTATCAAAGCTGGGTTCTAGATAAGGATTTTGCAGTATGAAGAATAAGATTCAGTATGATGATCCATCAGTAACAGCATCTTCTGAATGTGTTTCCCCTTAGCTAATATACACTGCTTAAATTGATTAGTTTAGGACACCAGCAGGCGAAGACCCAAGTACTTCTTAAATTCTCAGTTTATAATGAGCTGACCATAATTTAAGACCTTTTACTTCAAAACAGCATGTAATAAGGAATGTGTTAAACACATACAAAACCAGAAGAGACATTAATAGTTGTCCATTCCACCTTATAATTAAAGGGGATGGAGGCATGAAAAAGTTATCAAAGATGACAAAATTCAGTTAATCATCCAAACTGAAATACTTCAGGCTTTAGATATCTAAGTGTAAGATAGTGGATTGCCACTAAATGTCACTGAACTCACATTATAAATGACTTGCAAGCAAATGTGCAGATAAAGACAGGATAAAAATTTAGCACATGTGTATAAAAGTAGCTCCTGAAAACAGCAGACAGTGCAGCCAAAAAGCAAGGGTCTCAGTATGCCCCAGCATTTCTACCTTACAGGCAGGCAATTATTTTCCTACACTGTAGGGCTATTATAATCAGAGCCAGATTATGAGTGGGCTTCAAGTCAAATTCTGGCTTTTTCTCTGTCAAGTGCACAGCCTGTAAACCATCTCTCAGAAAAGACAAAAACCCCTTGCAATCCCTAACCTATTTGTCTTACAGATTCTTCCAGAATCATGAATTACTTGGGAATAATCTTTGGCATCAGTACTGTTGCTTTGAGAGGGTTTACGTTATTAGTACTCAAATTAATGAGAATTAATGTGTCACCATTCCATAGTCAAGTACAACAACTGAACTGCATGTTCCTAATCTGTTGCAGTGTGTGAAACTGAAGATGATTAGGTTAAAAAATTTCTATGTCACTTTGTTTGTGTCTATGCTCCTCCTGTGCTGAAGTCTGCATGTCCTGGTTTTGGGGTAGGAGACAGAGAAGGGGAAAGGGAAGGCAGCTGGAAAAGAGGAAGGAAGAGCTTCTTAAAATATGCTGTCTTCTGATTATGTAAGAATATCTGTAGCCTGCTCTAACCACCACTTCCCAGCTCAACAGTCCTTGTGTGATGAGTACAGAACTGTAATTAGAGATGCTTTGCCCTGGGACTTTCAACTGGAGTACACTAACAAGAACAATTTTTTTTTCTTGGCTCCAAGCCACATAGTTGAACTTCCACAAGGTTTCAAGGATACAGGGAGAAGAAAGGTTATATCCTATTCAGCTAACATTGCTTCTCTTCCATACTTTCCCGGGGTCCTATGCAGACAGCCAGGATTCCCCTTTGCATATAAAATCAGACTGCTTCTCAGCCCTATTCTGTTTTCAAACAAGAGGAAGAATGTATTGTTTAGCAAAAATAAGTAACTATGGCTAATTGCCTTATTTGAACATTTTATGGTATAAATTTATTTAAGAAAATAGCTGCAAAATTAGAATTTCCTGTGTTACAGGCATAAAGGATCCTTATCCCACTGTCCACACAGAATATTATGCATGCACTTAAGACAGTAAATAAAACCCATTGTTTAAAAGAAAAAGATCCCTAAAACCTCAGTATAAGAAACCCACCCTCAACCTCCCATTGTCCAGACAGCTATGAGCCATTAAAGGTCACTACAAATACTAACAGCTGTAGAATCTGACCTCTCTTTAGCCTTTGAAGGCCTTTTATTTGTTTGAACAGAACCCACCACATACATTGAACTCGTTTATTATTTTCAAGTCCTGAGCCCAACACCTGAAAATGCTTAACTAGCATGTTACAAATAAGACATCACTACATTCTTTATGTCACTCATATGAAGAAGTATTTTTTGAGCAGAAAATTCTGAAGAATAAGCAAACTGGAGAAACACTGGAAAGAGCTTACTCCTAGAGTATTAACTGGGACCTCTATGAATGCATCAAGTACATGAAAACTTATGAACAATTCACAACCCAAATTTACAACCCAAATTCAGATAGGTACAAATAGCAGCAAAATTTAATGAAAATCATGTACCCAGTCCTCTAAATAGTCAAAATTAAAACTCAGTACAAATGTCATCTATGTGAAGCTGAAGCAGGAAGGGAGGTAGAATGTTACAGCAAACTGAAATTCCACAGAGAATCTGATTCTGAACATGATTAGCCAACCAGAAATTAGGCAGAAAATTTTTGTTGAAGCAACTGAACCCACAAGTATCACACCTCACTTGAAGGAGTGCACCTTTAAACAAGGCACAGTCAATTCCTTGGCACTGTAACCTTTGCTGCTTCTCCTCTAAGAGATATTCCTAATTTTGCTCACCTTGCAACTTCTCAATATGAAGACACCAGCAGCTGCCTACATCATCACAAAGCACTAAGTTCAACAAACATCCGTGTATCAGAAGCTGGAATGTTGAAGGACTTGAGTGTTTTGTTTTACTAACAGTAAAAATATTACAGGTAAAATCTGAATTGTCATTAATCACTTCTTTAGTTGGAGCATGTACTTCTTGAGCTATTCAACTTATGAGTACACTCTTACTTAAGAGTGTTTAAACTTATTTACACAAATTGAAACAAACCTAGTAACTAGCTCAAGATCTGCTGTGCCACCTGGTCCCATGCATGGAGTTTAGCAGACCCAGTGCAGTGTGTACACACACAGAATGTGAGGTTTTGGTGACCTGCCTGTGTTCTAAATGTGTGTACCACAAGACCATGCAAAAAGCAGAGTGTCTGTTGCTTGCAGATGGTGCTACAATATGAGAAGAATATTTTAAAGAATATCTACTTAAATTTTCATGGAATCTCCCATAACTTCCCTTTTCAAGAACTGAATTCTAACACTGTAATTTGAAAGAAATTTCTATTTAATTTCTATCAGACACAGGCTAATCACTTTAACACAATGTAAATTATCACTTTCTCAGTAGCTGATTTTATACATGCTTTTAAAACATACAAGTATTTCAAGCTATTGCATTTTTCTTTACAATGCAAGGAAGACTAACAGGATTTAGATCAAGCCATTAAATATTAGCATTAATATTATCTCCCTTCCATTCTACTCTAGCCTAAAAAGTATCTACTATTCCCTTTGCAAGTAAATGGGAAGAGGGAAAAATATGTACCTTAACGGAAACAAATATATGATGTGACTTATACGAAGAGATAACTGGAGTAGATCAATGATTAAAGATCAAAAATTAGTAATTTCAAGCTTCTTAATTCTCCAGGTAACACTGCTTGCTTCTTTTGCCTAATAAAGCAGCTTAAGAGTAGCTGATATGAGACTTAAGTACAATCCTATTTTTCTCTGCAAAAATAACTGAGGGTACTAAAAAGCTTTATTTCAAGCAGCAGCAATATTTTTTTGGTTCTTCAGGACTAGTTGAACTTGCATTCTGCTTTGACTTCTGTTAGTCAGCACATTCTTAAAAGCTTCCCATGTCTTTGGTTCTAGACATAAGACCATCAAATTAATTAAAATCCAACTCACTAAGACTACTTCTACAGTCCACAAAAACTGTCAGTTCTTTTAGCTGCAGAAAAGAAGAAAAATGTATAGTGCTAAAGGAAAAGCTGTATCAATGGCTGAATACTTGTCATACATAATTGATATATATACATAAATAGAAATGTTTTCCTTTCTGCACCAAAACAGAGTACTTTTGTTTAAACAGGCATTTAGAAAGCATAAACAACGTTTCAATAAAAATATTTAGCAGTACCCTACTGTACAATGCATCCAAGACATCAATTGTAAAGAAACTTTCCAATATTTCTAAGCAGAACAGTATTAGTATATATGCAATCAAGATTGAGCTAATGTCCAATTAACATTTTCTGAAAAATTTTAAACAGATTTTTAAGGCTGCAGATACTGAAATCTGCAATACAAAACAGACTTCAGAGAAATTAAAGATTTATTCATGTAGTCTGGTGCATTACAAAGATAGGTAAATACCTTCAAAACGCCTTCCCTATGCCATAATAATGCTAGAATATTTCAGCTGCAAAGTTCATATTGAACATTTTAAGAAGTTGAGAGCACACAGACTTAGAATGCAGTGATTTCTTGTCAGAAACTACATACTGTGCCATTAATACAGCAAGCAAAGTAAGGACTGCTTCTTTTATTGTTATTCTTACCTGGTTCGGTTGGCTAGGGAAACAGACTCTCCTGGTGTTGAAATCCTCAAATGTTGAAGGCCTTAAATTTGCACTGTTGTAAGTTTCACTGGTTACTACAGTTTCATGTTGAAAAAGGTGATCTTTCATTAGTGAACCTGATGTGTTTTCTTGAGCAGTCTAGAACACATAAGAACTCCCTTGAAATGATTCTTGCATTTATATAAAAACACCACCAAACCAAACAAGTTCATACATAAATGTGTTAATACTCTACATAATGTATTAGAGGTATCTAAAACACAAGTATTCTTAAATGCACATTTTTTAAAGCATTTCAAAGTAGGCAAGTATTTTCTTTACTTTGAGTCAGACTTGGTAAGTACAGAATTTTTCTGCAGACAGTAAACAACTTGGGCACTAGAGATACATGCCTTTGAAATACAGTTGCCAAATCAGACTTCTTTATGGAAGTAGAGATTAACCTGTCTCTGAGATGGATGTTTTCTCTAACTACCCACGAGGCTGCCAGTACTTACAAAAACACAATTGGAGAAAAAAAATTCTGAGACTAATAGGGCAAAAGCTAGTCAGATCTTTTAATAAATTAAAAGCAAAATCAGCTAGAAAGGAAGAGAAAGTATGTAACCTATACTGGCTCAATTGAAAGATGTAATTGCAGCAAGCGTGCATTAAACAGGTAATGACTGTCTTTTTGCAATTACAGTTGTATTGGGCAATTTGATACAAAAGTGGGACCATGAAGCAATATATGATGAGATAGCTGCAGAAGGAAGAGGAAGTATGTTTGGGTAGAATACTGGCTTGTAAGATGATCCAATTTCTGAAATGAATTGAAATACAAACAGGTCTCATTCTTTAATCTTGATTGGCTGGGATACTTAGGATACAGCAGAGCATTTTGATAAAAATTCAATTGGGTCGCCAAAAATGAACTGTATGTTTGCATAGAGGGATGCTGTAAAGTTAACTGGCTGTCATCATGGATAGCACTCAGAAAATTCAGGCATCATCCAGCTTACAGCAATGAGGTTGTTTCACCTTTATTATGAGGATTTGTATGTAACAAGAAAACATTTAGAGGAAAAGAATAAAAATACTACAGAAAAAAACTGAGGCAGAGGCAAACCTAAAAGTTTTGGCAAATTAAGTATTAACTTGGAATCATTAGTTTTCACTTATCAAAATACTTAAGGAATTTATTCCAGGATTACATTAGTACCTCACATAAATAAAAGCCTAATGTATCAAGTTTTAAGACATCTAGATAATATGAAGTAGCTGGTCTGTAGCTGATTTTTTAGGGGAAAGAAAATCATCACATCACTAAGAATTTATATATTGTTTCACAAACATCATGTGGGAAAACATTAAATTTAGTGATTAATTCATGATCAGCGTAATTAATACTAGAGAGCATACACCCCAAAAAAGACAAAAGCTCACTCAAGCAGGTTAAGGTTCCCCTGAAAAACTTTGAAGACAGGCAAAATGCCAAAAAGAAGTACTATTTGTAGATCCTTGAGCATGACACCAACACAAAGTAATTAATCCTGTTATTGTCAAAATTAAATTTTCTGGTCAAACACTGTTGGGAAAGAAATATAAAAGAAATACTGGAATGACTGACAACAACTAGACTTCATACATGTATACTTATTTTAAGAGCAAAACCCATCAAATATTAGTGCAATAGCAGACATCTTCATAGCAGGAGGTACTCCTGGCAGATACATTGCCCAATGACATAAAAGCTTCCAAAACAGTGGCTCAAACCACAGAAGAGCTGTATTCAAAATGAGGAAGAAATGCCTACAACCATTTTTGGTCTGAGCAATGTTTAAAATGACTACAAGCATTTAAGCTAACAGCTAGAAGCCATTTTACAGAAACCACAGTGATAAGCATCCCCTTTCCCCTTCCCCTGGCTATTATAAATCTGAGTGGTCTAGGGAGAAGGCTGCAAAAACTTCTACTCCTTCCTTCCCAGGGTAAAAACACATACTACCCACAAGCTAGTCTTTATCCCTGGGTGAGATTTGCAGCTGCCTGCATTATTTCCTGTCCCTGCAGGTGATTCACAGCTTTCTTCTTTAAAAATAAGCTATCTGCACTACAGAGCAAAAAAGGACACACACACATGCTCACACAGCCAGATACAAGTACTCCCCTTGGCAGTCAAGGAGGGCTCCCTCTAATGAAGGACACAGGCACAGATCATCTCTTACTGTGCTAACTAGCAGTGCCAGATGATGTACGAAACCCAAACCTTAATCTTAAAGCAAACCTTTGTGCCCTATACACAGCAATTATCAAAGAATGCTTTTAGAAAATTCCAACACAGATACCACAATTCAAACTAATTGACTTCAAGGACAAATTTCGGGGTGGCAGCAGACAGAGAAAAACGTGACCTTTTGTAAGGCAAGAACTTGACAGACAGCATTTCTGAAAGCACAACGCTCAGCTTACCAACCTATACACTACAGGTAAGTGGACACAGACTAACTTCTGGTATTAAAATGAAAAGCAATCATTTCAGTTCTTTAGCCCATAAATATTCATTATGCCAAATTACAGAAATACCAGATGAACACGCTGAACTCTGCTTTTAAATTAAACTGTAGTTAGATAAATTCAAACCACATTTATTAGTATCCAAAAACCTTTTCCTTGGACAACACTTCTTGCTCCAAGGTGATGTTTTATTACAAGGTCATAAACACCTGAAAACCCACATTTATAATGTTTCCATTATACTGACAATCTGAAGTAGGAAGCCCTAGAAACAAAAATGGTACTGTGTTGAAAATACATTTAAGTAAGAAGCAAACATATAAAGTTTTCCACAAGAACATGTACAGAACAAATATACAGAGTATCACACACTAGCACAGATGCACACATTCTCCTTTTCTACTGTCCAAAGCAATTACACCGCCCACATTCAATATTCTTTAACCACAGCTTGCAAAGTACAGTACTGGCATAGGTTATTCAGTATCATCTGTAAAGTAACCTACGCCAGTTTTTAATGCACAACGGAAATCTGGTTTGCTCCCAGCTGCTGGTATAATAATTACTGTCCTATGGTTGCTAAGAGATACTCTGAATTTTTTTCCAAGACTACTAAAACATTTCTGTGCGCTCAAGCAAAAGGATGCTGGGTAAAGCAATAAAATGACTCCAGCTGTAGCTCTCCAGCAGAATTCAAAGCCAGATGACAGCTGTAGAGAAAATGAAAACCAGACTGAGCTTCTCTTGTTCTTCAAATTTTCTCTCCTTACTTCTCCCAGTTTGCCAGAGTTAAGTCTGGGAGAGAATTCAACATTGTTCTGCAAACATTGTTAAAAATGTTCTCCTCTAAGTAAGTTTAATGATTACACAGAAGGATGGATGAGAGACCACATTTCCGCTGCATCCCAGTTCTTGCATTTACTTCCCATGAGGCTCCAAAATCTGCTGTTTGATGCTAACAACACAAGAAACATTTAAATGCTTTTTCCTTAATTTTTCAATTCTGAATAAATGATACAGGTCTCAAAAACATCTGAATTACTTCCTTCTGCTTTGGCTATTTCTCAGACTGATGGAGCAATATATTTGGCAAAGAAACTCTATTATTTTCAGGTATGTGTTTCTGACATAGACTGAAATATTACCTAGATTACTCTGAGTATTTCATACAGTTTAAACTAAAAAATAAGACATTTGACATGCCTCTTTTTTCAAAGGCTTTTCCACCCGAAAATGTAGAGAACACTATATGTAAAGAGGCTGCTAGGAATACTGGTGAGGAAAAAAAATATTATTTATCCTCTTTTTTACATACAACTCCAACAAAAAGAGCTTAATAAACCAAAATGATTTAGCACAATGTATGAATATATTTATTTGAAACTGATAATATGAATTAGTATTACTTTTAGTTCTAAGAACTGGACCTAAGCAATTTATTAACTGCACTAAATATTTCTAATCTTTAGTGCTTTACCATGTAGTATTGTCTTATCCATAAAACGATAGAGTATGTCAAGGGTAAATTATTTCACATTTTCTTAAAAGTCATAATGTTATTTTAGTAAAATAGAACTTCTGCAAACATTCTATTAGAGACAAAATAAATTGAGTAGTCATTAAAGGCCCTTATGAAGAGGTCACTAAATAGTGTATTTACAGAATGGCACATGAAGAATTAATGTCTTCCCTGCCTGCACCAAGACACCTGAAGATGCATGGAAGCTGCAGGCATTTTCCCATTCCTATTAACAAGAAGTCCAATGTACTAACTTCTGAGAGAACAAGACAAACTTTTTATTTTCTGCTTATAATTTATCAGTCTATAGTTTTCTTCTGCCAGCAGTAAGAAACTCAAAAGCATAAGTGATCCAAATCTAATTACCTCAAAACAGTTAAAAAGTGATGGTAGCCTATAACACCAGTATGGCTGAATCAACAAAAACTGAAAGAAATTAAAGCTCAGCTACTCTGTTTTTCAGTTCACAAAAGCAAGACTTATGCATTACAGGCTCCAAAACCTCCACAAAAATAATTTTAAAACTATGAGCTCTAGATTTAGATTTACTTTTAAGGAAAAAAAAAAAAATTATTTTTTTTTTCAGTTAAGCTAGGTAAGTTTTAGAGCAAGAAGTTTATATTTGGAAGAGGAAAAGAACCTGAGCAAATCTGTTAACAAACAAGGAAACTGCCTTACACAAGCTGATTATTTACTCCATTAAAAATGCAAGGTTTTATACCAAAAATATCTAAACTTCCTAACAAAACAAATTCCCAATGTGTACTTCCATGTAGGTACATATACTTTTCCAGGTTCCATTTACCAACATTTTAGGAAGTCAGATAGCTCTGCCTTAACTCATTTGTGCACTTCTGCTTGAAATTAATCTGGTAAGACTAGGGCTTATTTGATGATATGAACAATTTGCATCTAATAAGTTAATTAAACAACTAAAAATAATTGCAATAATTTAAGCAACCATGAAAACCCTTAAGGGATCATATTATTTTAATGCTAGGATTTTAACATTATTTCTAAACAACAGAGAGGCTAAAGAAACTATAATGAAACTATGTCTTCTTAAAATGATAAATTTGATCTTCAGCAAAAAGAATAGTTTCTCTGGGAGATTTTATTTACAAAATGTAAATTAAAAACCAAAAAATTTAGTGAACCAAGGTATAACATAGCAAACCAATTGCTAGCCTAGAAGGCAAAAGACAAGAGTTCAGTTTTTGGATTTACATTTAAGATATGCACATACAATTTTTGGATAATCACTGTTTCTGCTAACTGCTTCTATAAAATGTGATACTTATTACAAGGAAGCAATGAGATTTCACACTGAGATGATAATTTTTGATCTTCTTTGGATCATTTTTTTTGCTCTCTATAGCACAAAATTTAACCAGCCAGTAAAAAAAGTTATGAAGCATGTTTAGCTTTCTTCATCATCTAGTCATCTTCATTAAAAAACCAAACAACAAAAACAAGCCATTGTTAATTAAATTTATGTACAAACTAAATACTATATTTATACTTCAAATGTATACTAAATAAAGGATCTCTGCTGTGTAAAATGACTAGAAGAGTATAGGAAAAACTACTCTTTAATATTCTATCCACACTCCAAAATGCCCTTGCATAAACATACTCCAAAACATACTCAAAAAAACTGATAGAGACTTTGGAAAACAGCTTATAAAATAAACAAGGAAACAAAAAATCACTAAGCCTTTTAAATTACACAGAGGTGGCAAGAAGTAGGGGACAAGTCAACAGGACTCTTCAAATACTCAACACATTATCTTTTAAGAACAATGGCATCAAGTTCAAAAGACCCTGGGGTATCCATTTTCACTTATCATAGTATCAATCTTGGAAGTGGAAGGAATAATTTAAGAGAATGTGGACTATTTGGCATTTCAAAGGTATTTTTGGAGGCTAGACCTGATGCCTATAACTAAAATGGTGTAGCTTTTCTACACTCATGTTCATAATCCTGCAATTACAGCTTCACTATTGATTCATAAACCTGGTTTAGATGAAGCATCTGGTATTGTTACTGATGGGCAATGCTACCATCATTTATTTTACTTTATTGTGCAGAGATATGGTGAGAGATATTGGCTAGCTTTTTTGCTTTTAGAAAACAGGATATCTACCCACAGTTAATGTCTACTGTGATGAAGTCATTAAGTATGTTTTTTGTTTTTATATATAAAATTTGGTTTACAGACATTTTAAAAAATGCATACATTTATTTTTTAAAATAGAACATAACATAAACCTGTATTTACAAATATAAATAGGTGGTATATTGATATTCAAATATATAGAGCAGATGTAGCAAATACACTTTTCTCCACTTTCCCAATAACAAATTTGTAAATATAATGAATCTCAGGTATTTTCCTCAATTTTGGCGTCCCTATATGGAAACGTAATAACTAGGCAGCAAAATCAAGAAGTAATTGGTTCTAATCTCATTAGTCCTGTAGAAACTGTTCAATTATTAATCCTTGCAACAAAGCATATTTAAGCAAGTCCTTTAAAAGCTGATTAAGGACTGCATTAACTTTGGCACACATTTCCTTCACCCTGACAAAATCTCATTTCTTTTTAAAATCTGAAATATCAAATATTTTAGCAATTTTACTTTCAAGTGCCTTAAAAAAAAGCACTGCACATAAAGAACAACAGGTGGTTACATAGCCAACACTTAAACAAAGAAATACATTTCTTCTACCATAAAATGAAAAGATATCAGGAGACTTCTGAATTGCCACTGCATTGCAGTATCCTTTCTAAATACCTGACTCTCAGCTGAATGTCTCTTTGAATGTCTTCAAAGTCAGCTGCTAGTTTTCTTGAATTTGTGTTCTAGAGGTTCTACTTACACTGATACAGGATTTATTACTGCATAAGTGACAACACTTTTTCCCAGAAGAAATCAGTTAGCAACAGTATCAGTTTTCTGAATAGTCACTAAGACCTCTGAGCCAACTTGTTTCTTTAGCATCTTCATAATAATTTAAATTTCTGCACTCTGAAAACTGAATATATGTGTGAATGAAGACACAGCTTTCCCTAAAATTATAAATAAGAAGGAAAAAATTACAAGCATACATAAACACAAATAGAATTTATTCAGATATATTATAGTTATTTATCTCGTGTGTGTATATATTTGTCTCCATAATATTTTTTTATACTGGCTTTTTAATTACATAGATTCTTGGATATTATCAAGCAGTGCTATGCATCAGTTTTACAGTATATGATATGGTATACATGTAAAACACTGGAACTCTGAAGCATGGTTGGACATAAATTTTTATCTCTTAAGCCATTATGACCTACAGAAATAGAACAGTGCAAAAAAAGATCAATAAAACCTTAAATCTCAACAAGCGATTACTTTATCTTCAGTGTGTTTTTAAAAACTGTCTAAACTCCTGTCTTTGTCTGGACTAGATTCTCAACCATTGTCTCAGCATCTTCTCAACTCTAACCATTTGATGTCAGAGTGGAATTTAAGAAAACAAACAGGACATACAAGTAAAAAGATTTTTCATCCCTCTATTTTCTGTTTCCCAGAAGAATATTTCATATTTCAGTAAGATCAAAGAGGACATAAAACTTGAACAGATACTTTGAACTCAAAAATTAAAATCAGGATACTTAATGATCCTATGGATTAAATAATAACTACTTTGTTTAGGAGTATTCTAGATAATTGTTCTGGAACTTATTTAATTCAACTGAATTTTAGTATTGTTCTTATTTCGCTTATTCTCACTAATGACAGCAAAACCTGTTCAGTACATTTATAAAAGAAAAAATTCACAATTAATTTAAAAATTTACTTACTTGAAAGCAGTCTTCTGCCACTTCAACATCATTTTGGGAGGGTGGATAACCTTCATATAAAGAAAAAAAGTAGACAAGGTTATTTTCTTCATATTTACCACTTACTGCTTCCAGTAACCCATACCATCTCTCAATATCCAGTGATGATGATATAAATATTCTTGTTTACCTTTTTAACCCATAGATCACTGCATTTCAAGTTGATTTAGTAAGCATCATTCATTTTTACACTCTGCATTTTCTGTACTGAGTATTCCTAGCCACACTCCTCTCTGTTGCTCCCACCTTCCTTATAAATGCATTTTCAAAGCGTCATCAGTATTCAGAAGCAAGGGAGTACATTCCTTTTAATGTAGAATTTTGAAAATTAAAGGCATACACATTTAGTTGGCATGAATGCACACTGTGCTGTATTTTGCTATAAATCAGCAGAAATTGAAACTGTGAGACCCTAAAAGAAAAGAATTACTCTCATGTTCTCTAATTATTTGTCTTGAAAGGATATTGATTATACCAATAAAATTCCAAAGCAGTCATTAGAGTATGTCAAAAAGCATTTTCCTTCAGGAACATGCTCCTCCCTTCATTAGTAGGATAACACACACAAAATCCCTAAAGTTATTTTTTACAAATTGGAAAGAGATGTTCATTTAATTCAATAGACACCTATTCTCTTCCCTCCCTGTCTCAATCCAGCAAAACATATATATATACACATACATGTATATATATGTGTGTGTGTATATACGTACATATATGTGTGCATATATATGTGTGTGCGTACATATATACACACATTAATATATTTTCAGCTCAGAATCTAGGCTTGATGATATCCTTCAGTTTGCCCACTGGTTTCCACTAATTGAGTAAAGCTCTGGAACCAGTTGGCCATATTGCTATCCAAGTAAATTCTTCTGTTCCTAAAAAAACCCCGCCCTCAGAACTACATTGTCATCTGTTAGTGAAAAATAAAACTATCAACTAAAAGTATGTGCAGATAATGAGAGAACTCAACAGGTCACAAATCATTCAACTTCCCAGCTTATCCTACAACACAGGAGTTGCAAAATGCTTCTAAGATCCAAGTGAGAGAATATAACACTCCAGCTTCCTCCATTTCTTCATGTCTAAAAGAAAGAGGGAGTGCTTTATTATGTAGGGAGGGATGTTTCAGGAAATTACATTATTAAGTTTTGTGAAACAATTTAAGACACTTGGATGAATGGCACTTTAGAAATGCCAAAAGTACTATTTCAAAAACTATTGAAATTCCAATATATTATGGTTTAATCCGCATCCTTAAATGTCAATGTAAATGTTACACAAAGTGCTTTGACATCTTTTTTAGTTAACACTCAGTATTCCTTCATCCCACCACGTTTTTCACCTGAAATATGTACCTTGGGAAATATCCTCCACTGCTCTCCGAATACCTCTATCAAATGCTCTTGCATCAGCAGGACTCTGAAATGTGAGGCCAAACTTTTTGTCATCAATCTTCCAGTGGTAAAAAGTAGGAGTAACTTTGTTGTAAACGAGGTCTTTCTTTAATGTGCATTCCAAGACCACCTTTCAGAAAGAAAACAGAAGGAAAATATAACAATGACCAATCTATAAAATTTGAGAACAAAAGGTAGTCTTTGTGAACTACCTAAAAACATACATCATAGAGGTCTTTTTTAAAAATTCTTCCTGCTATGAGGATGTAATTTTAACTTCATTTCCATTACAGCCAAATTATTCACTATCAATTGCTGATAAGTAGTATTGGTTGAAGACACTATTTGTTTACTGAGTTAATCTTCCTATTCAAAAATGTCATATCCACAGAAGTATCTCATACCTGCAAAAACCAGTACAGACTTGGTAGATGTTCAGCAAATGAAACAGGTCACATGTCCCCAAAAAGCATTTTGTGTGCTGATACCAAATTTTAGTGTAGCACTGGGATCTACAAAATATTTTAGTGCTAGACTAACTCCATGCTGCTTTCAGGCAGATTTTCAGATTTCTCCCAGAAAGTCTACTAGACAAGTAAAAGTAATACAAGAGAATTGTTTTTAAAAAAATAAATTAATAAAACCTAAAATCTTTATGAATGTACTACTGCCTGCACCTAAACAAAAATACATTTGTGGCTCATGTTCAACTATTAAAAAAACAGTAACTGTGTATGATTATCAGAATTATTTGGCTACAAAATCATTACAGGTATACAAGCACATTCAGTTATAAAGCAAAGTCACGGTCTTCACACAGAATCATAAATGGGTTAAGGTTGAAAGAAACCTCAAAGCCCATCCCATTGCCATGGGCAGGGACACCTTCCACTAGACCAGGTTGCTCACAGTTCCATCCAAAATGGCCTGGAACACTTCCAGGAATGGAGCATTCACCACTTTTGTGGGCCAGTGCCTTACAACCCTCAAAATAAAGATTTTTTTTCTTAGTATCTAATCTAAATCCACCCTCCTTAAATTTGAAGCCATTCTGCCTTGTCCTGTCAATATATCTCTGTTAAATAATCCCTCTCCAGATTTTTTTGCAGGCTCCCTTCAGATACTGAAAAGTCTTATTATTGCCCCTTTGAATAGTCTGATTTTAAAAATATATTTGCACTTTTACTTTACTGGCAAAAATCATTTTAAGCAACATTGTTGCACTGAGTGTTTATTGATTAAAAAAAGTCGAATGTGAACAAGAAAGTATGGAGGGAGACGCATTGATCTGCTCCCATAGCAGTATAATAAAGCCGCCAGCAAGACAACACGTCTCTGTGTATTGGTATTTGATGATGAAGGAATCTCACTATCATTTCAATAATATGCTATCATTTCACTGATGCACTTTTAGAATTTTAATTTTTTGTTTTGTTACATATGTGGCTTTTTAAAAGAGCAAATACAAAATTCCTCATAGGATATGGTAAAATTAGTTTAAGTATACACAACTGAGAAAACCCCTCAAAAAAAAAATAATCTATATGTGTACTTAGGTTATTGTTACATATACTTTGTGTTCCTCTTCTCCTTTCATTGTCTAACTATTACATAGGCAAATAGGTTTTTTCTCTCTTGCTCTTCATTATTTATTCCCCCTACAACCCACCAGTAATCATCTCCTCTCAAATGTTACTGCCTTTTACCTCTGTCTCTAGAAGGATAATATTCTTTCTGCACATATAAACTCCTTCAGCATTAAAATAATTTTCTGTTTCTCCACTCAGATCTCCCTTAATAGTCAAAAATGTATAGGTAAAACTGCCTAAAAGAAAACGTAACAAGGAATCTGTTTCTGTAGGTCTCTAGGAAAAGCTGTTGGAGGCAGAAAAAAAAGGATTATTCTGCAGTTCTAAGGTGCATCAAATAATTGTTCCTCTGGATGATTTTAAACTTGCTTCCTCTTTCAAAGACCAGTTAAAAATGAAGGCTTCTCACACCACTGTCTTTTCTAGGTCTGAAAGCTCTTTAGAGGGATCTCTAATACATTAACACCAACTATTTTCACAGTATAGTTTGCGTGCAGTGTCATCCAAAACGTCAACAAAAAGGACTGCAAGCTTGATTTTATAGCATCACAATGAATTTCTGGTGCTGAAGGGATTAATCCAGATTACTTCATACTGCAAATTCATACCCAATAACAATTTTACCACTAGAGATAAAAACTGGATTAAAACTTCTCTTAGTAGAAGCTATGGTTTTCAGACACACAAAACGAACTAGAAAATCCACAAACCAACTCCCTCCGGCCCAAGAAGCACTTACCCCCACTTCCAACCCTCACATTTCTTATAACAAGCTATGATTAACAAAACAGGTAAACATCCCATCCAACACTAATTGTTTTCAACTTGATTCAAGGAAACAACATTTGAGGGGGTGACACTGATTTTTTGCCATCTAAACCTGTATGAAAACAGACCACAACACAGAAGATATAAGTGAAAGGGCATTGAAAAGGGAAAAGTATGTTGCATCAAAACTGTGTATGTTATCAGATATAAGAATCTGTACAAGCAAGACTTGCTATAAAGACTTGTCTGCCCCACCTGAGAGAAAACTGAAACGCTGTAGATCTCAATTAGCAGTGGAACAGAAATTTATAAACATCCAGCCCTTCAATAGTATTTGTTATATCCAGAAATACAAAAAATCTAAATCAAATAAAAAAACATACCAACCATCCCCAGAAGAATTTTTCTCTCTTTTCTCTCGCTGAAACACTTCTATGCTTTGCAGCAATAGTGAATTTTTAAATTGTAAAACCTAATTGTGCCAAAGGCTTCCTGATGCTCAAGCATGCGAACTATCATGGGGGCTGGGGAGGAAGTATCCTCATACACGTATTCTCCAAGGCCTGGAAATGGAAACCAAGCTTTTTCAATGCAGATATATTTTGAAATTCCATTTATTTTTTAGTGCACTTTGCTATGGTTCAGAACTCTCCATATCATAGGTGAAGATCATATACTCTCCCACATGGTTACCCAAAATATGCACTCACAAACCTTTTCAAGTAGACCTTCCCCAAGATCTCCAGTGATATGCACAGAAAAGATCTGAAAAATTGTAAATAAAGTGCCTATAGCTTAACTTTCATTTCAAAAAACACCCCATAGGTTACTGTTGTGAAGGTTTTCTTCATTTGGAGACTTTATATAAGACTTCCATGCAAGTATGAAACATCTACCTTGGCACATAATGGAAAATGTTGCAGAATCATCAGGCTCAAGACAGAAGAAAACCAGATGCACATGACCAAAATTTAAATTCTCAGAGCATAAGTAGGGCTTTATGTCTCCTATTATTTAATGAAAAGAATCCTTTTAATATCTAGATGTCATTGAGCATAACACTAATGAATTAATTGCTACTCAAAAATACTTGTTTGCTTTATGTTTCTTTTCTCACCTTTAAAAACTAAATGCTTTAAAGACAATAAAAATCTATCTGGCTTATGTAGACAAGCTCAATCACCAGAGTCGGAAATTTTCGACTTCAGCACTTAAAACCCTAATATTTTTAAGCAGAAATAAAATGAGCATTTAAGACATTACATCATTATTTAGAGCTTATTTCAGAAAAAAAAGAAAGAAAAAACCTTTTGCATTTGATATAAAATTCTATCTTAACAGACCTAATAATTGAACATTTTGAGATACTGGATACTATTTTACTGGTTTCTAGCTGTACTTTCAAAGCGTACAAGAGCGCATGTAGGATAGATAGCTTCACTGTTTCTCATTCCCAACCCAAATCTACAAACATAAATAAGCACATAGTTTTAGAATGCCTTTTCTGCATTACTCTTGGGAACAGGCAGCACAGCCTGAGTAAATTCATGCTACAGAGTATATGAAACCAGTGCCACAGTAACCATATGATATAATTATTTTATGCGCACTTTTGGTTCAGTTCAAAAGAGAAGATGATGTAAGGGCTGTACTATAGGCCATCAGAATCAATCTTTCCTCAAAATTTAAAGACAATTATAAAAATAAACATTTAAGTTTGTAAACAGCAGATTTTTTAGAAGAGAATGGTGTTTATATTCAGTTTTAGCTTTGTGTCTCTCCCGTTACACAATTAGTATCTAAAAGATACTAGTAATATTTTTTTTTCTCCTTTGATAAAAACTTGCATGGCAAAAGTCTGGAGAAGAAAATAAACCAGAGTAGTCTATCAGACTTTTCATTCAAGAAGGTAAAATTCACCAAAGCCTAAAACCAGTAAGTTTGAGCCTAATAGGTGTTTAGCACTAGCTCTATCAAGATAGAAGACAGCTGCTGTGAACACAGAGAGAACAGCAGACCTGACCAGGTTACACGGGAGTACAATTGTTCCAAGCAGACCAGCTGGAGCCTGATCTAGGAAGGTGATTATAATAAAGGGGGAAAAGTGCAATTATGTGAAAAGTCTTCATGAAATACCCTTAAATTCCAAGACAAATCTAAATAACCTGAGCAAATTAGCAGGGAGCATTCTCTCTCAAATTAATTCAATGGTGCCACCACTTTGATTTTCTTCTCAGATAATTAGGATGCTTTTTGTGAATGCCAAAGGATGTTTTAAACACCTCTGCACCACACAAACATTTTGGAAGTTCTACGTGTAGTCTGAAGCTGGTTCACAAAAGGGCTGACAGCAACCTGCCTCTCAGGTGTAAAAACAACACAAGCCCTCTCCAACAAGGATCTTCAGTATTTTGATTTTCTTTCTGGAGTATTTATTTCTACAGCTGACTTACAGATTGAAGTCTGTAGTTGTATTTAAATGCCTCCATAGCCTATAAAATACATGGAAAGATCTGGAACACTGGAATAGAGCTGCATGTAGTGTCAGAAGTAGCAATTAAAGCTGATTAATTCCTCTTCAGTATAACCATTTAAGAAGCACCTGAAGATACCTCCATCAAATACCTCACCTATGGATTTCCAGCTGCTTTGGAGAGAATTCCACCTTTCTACTGACACATTGGTTAACCAGTTATATTTGGATTATGATTCCCATTTATCTTACAGAAAAGCTATAGATCTGAACTCCATTTACTTTCTAAACTTTTTCAAAACCAATGCTTCCCCACATCACAGAAAAGCGTTCCAAGTTCCACACTTTAAGTTTCCAGGATTATGGAATTTCGGTACATTTTCTGGAAGCTAAGCCAGTTCACAAAAGAAGAGACTTACTGGCCAGAGAAAATCGAGATATAATCTTGATTAGGAAGGTATTTTAGCAATGTGTAATGTGACTTTAAAGAATGTGGGGAAATTCATTTGTAAAGATGACTTTCTCTCTCAATCCACAGAAGTATTTTCAGAAACAGCTGTGTGTACTTTGCAAAAAAGTTAGTAAACTGGAAACTGTGGTCCAAGTGACTTTTAGATATTACAGTAGATTATTAATTAAATATTTCTGAAGATACACGTACTCAAAGTCTGAATAACTGAAATGTTAGAAACTGTTTGGGAAGTTTTTTAAAAAAATTCTGTTACACTCTCTTTTCAAATACGATGGAAGAGCAGCCAACTAAACAGCATACTACTAACTTCGAAGATTATTCAGGCATTGAGATTTACTGAGGGCATTCTAAAACGAGACTAGAGGGAAGTTGGTGCACAGAAACAGTAGATTCAGCATAACACTTCTGAAAAATCCGAAGATGATCAAAGTATTTGGTATCCACTCAATAGCAAATACATTGGCTTCCACTTTTACTTTACTTTTTAATAAAAAAAAATATATAATTATTATGAAATTCGAATTATTATGAAATATAATAGTCACCTGTCACTTCTATTTGGACTAAAACACCAAATGTTTGGCTTCATAAAAAAAAGGGTTAAAATTTGTGCTTGAACTGTGAATCCACAAGAATATCCTAAGAATGAATGTAAAACCATTAACCATACTGAAAGCATAATGATCAGAACAGTTTTAGAATCAGTGACGTGTCCAACAGATTTCTCTTTCAGTGTCTGCTATCTTCTGCCCTTCTAAGTAAGTGTTATGACCTAATTTTGTCATTGCACATCTTGGTGCAGGATTTTGTTGCTTCTGTGCCAAGTGGGGTCTTGTTGCATATCATACAACTTGGTTGTTAATTCATTACACATTAGCTGTTGCTTATAATTGCATTATCTGAAGTCTGTAGAAATATATGAATACGCAGTGATCTTTCATTCAGTTATCAAAGAATTACTGATTCTCCAGTGTTCTTCTCCACACCCTAAATCTATATTTGTTAGTTCCCTGAGATTTATTTAATATACACAGGAGAGATGTTTGTCCTAGCTGCACTTATTCCACCTTTTATACTGTGTTTTTGAGGGGCTGACTTCTAACAGCAACTTCCCATAACTTCATCAAGATTACAATCAGACAATCATTACAATTACTGACAGACTAGTTAGGTCACCTTTTGAGGGCAAGTACAAGGAAGACAGATGGACACAGGATGGGACACACACAAAAAAAACCCTAAAATAAAACAAACTGTTCAAGACAATAAAGGTTTGGAAAACATATTCATGCTGACATGAGCTTGATTTTAGACAGGAAGAGGAGGAGAAACATATATATAAAACCTTCTACCAGAAGTGGAACCAAAACAAGTCTTGCCTAGAGGAAACGGGAGAGAGGACACTGCAAACAGATCAGGACACTGATGGCTGGACATCTTTATATGCATGCAGACACACTATTAAACCAGTCTCTAGTTTGGAGCATTTTTTTATTTTTAAGGCAAGTTGTGAATATTCCAAGTATTAAGAGTTAAGAAAAAAATATCAAGTATCTCTAAATGCAATTAAGCTTCTCAAAAAGAGCCTCAGCAAGGCTAAAAAAAGTTCTAGAGGGAACTACTGCAAAGTGAGGAAGGAACTGCAGGTGCACGTAGCTGTGCGGGAACACAGGGTTCTCTGCTAATAGCGCTACGCCCCTCAGAAACAACTGAGTCAGCAGAATTTCTATTTATATGCTTTCTTCCTACAGTAGTCACAGTCAAGGCAGAGAACTCCGCAGTCCTGCCTCAGGGGACAAACTGTTGTGCTTGAAGAAGGGTCAGCAGTACAGTATAAGAAGTAATTCTATCTTTTAAGCTTACAGAGGAGTCAAAGTTTATTTGCAGAAAAGAATATATTCTTAATAAAAGTCATTGAGATGGAGCTTTTGTGCCTCCTCCACTTCTCTTTCCACAGTGAGACACACCCACCCAGAAATCTGTTTGCCGCACAAGTAACCAAGCAATCCTTAGTAAGCCCATTCTGTCTTCCTTAGGTCTGCATGTAGAAATGGCTGAGATCCTGCACCATTCCTTTTCTGAGGCTGATTTTCATGATGCTTCTTAAGAGATGTTTATTACCAGCGTTTTATGTAAGGTAGCTGATGAATGAATAGTGGTTATGTGTTCATCAAGCCAGGTCAATTCTTGGACCTGTCAGCTTCAGTCCGTCTTTCAATATGAAGTAGCTCTCATGGAAAATGGCTGCTTCTTGCCATAGCCATATTCCACAGCTAACCAAATCACTACTGAGGAATTCCACCTGATTTCATGTTCTTAATAAAGTTCTCATTTCCAACACTACTCCTAAATGCATTATCACTGGTATAGAAACTCTAATCTTTCATTGGAAGAAAAATTAATAGCAAAATTTTTCCCAAAATGCATAGAGTTTCTAAAAAATCCATGTGCTTGATTCTATAAAAGCAGGGTATTACATTTCAAACAAGTAACTGGTTCTTCTGGTACACAATCATTGATACAGAAAAGTTCAGCAACAGCATTAGACTGAGACTTTAAATTTACTTTGTCTACATAAGCACGTCACATACAGTTTTAATATTATCATTAAATAGATACAAATTGTTACCGTTTTATCCCTGAGTCGTTCTCCATGGATAAGAAAATCAGCACAGCTATTCTCTTCCTGGGGAATGACTTTGAAGACTGTGACACAGCTTAGTCCACCCCCTCCAAGTGGTAACCATCCACCACTTGAGTCATCCCGGGTCATCACCACAGCTCGCACTCGTGCATAACTATTACTGAAAGAGAAGCAAAAGAAGAAATTAGTTTTCCATAAACAACTTTTTGTTTTTAGTAAAAAACAAAACAAAACCAACAAACCCACAACTAAGATCACAATAATTAACAGTCTTTCCACAAATATCACCTAGAAGAAAAGAATTTAAGACCACCCTCTAAAAAATGTTCCTCTGTATTTTTATGCCTTCATTAGGCCTTCTCAGAGCTCGTGATTTTTTGTAAAGGGGCTTAATCAGATAATACAGTTGCCAAATCAAAATTCATATTCTTCTAAAATCTTTACACTCCATGATCTAGCTAGAGGGCTGGAAAGAGAGTAAGAATCAACTCCTGATTTATTTTAGACTAATCGTGAAGCTAGTCAGCCACCATGAAATTGCACAGAAAAGAGAACAAGAAAACAGAAAGAGGTCAGGCCTTCTGTCACTGAAATATAAACAAGAACAGGCTTCTAGCCAGAAACCCTGCTTCCCTTCATCCATCCCTCCTCCCCATGCACATAACCCGTCCTTCTCAAGGGTAGGTCAGGATACACACTGTGGGGCTTGAAAACAGAACCAGTTACAACTACTTAAAATCCGTAATTGCAGTGTCTACTTGCCTCTTCTCTCCTGTATTTGCATTGCATGTAGTACTACTTGCATTTTACAATCTAACATCTTTCTCCATAATTTAGTACTTTTATAAAATAAACAAATTATTATCATGTCATTACTTAAAAGCCAAATTCCAGAGTATTGGAAAAAGAGGTTTTCGTCATTTCCCTCTCTCTGCTTAGTTTTTTCTTCTAAATTAAATGAAAATTTCTAGTTTTGGTTATGAATTTGCCACTACACCACTTGGAAAACCCCAGTGATTGCCAAGATGTTATAAGATGCTACATTTGAAGTACAGTTTACTGGATGAATGTAGCAGTTGACGATTGAACATTTCAACACCTTAAAATAAGGTGTTATCTTTTTGTAACATATTCTTGATTGAGGGTTTACGTACTTACGCCACTTAGCACCAGTGATGTCAAATTTAAGGGCTGAAGAGGAAATATTAGAAGAGATCAAAGTGTTCCTTATGTATTTGAGATAAAACTATTCACCAAGCTGTTGCACTTTTAAAAAATCACTTCTTTACTTACAACACCCCTCCCCCCAAAATCCCAAAAATAAGAAAGGTAGGCTTTTTTGCGTAATTAATATATTACATTCTCACACACACGTATGATTCACAAATATGATTCACTTGTGTGTGTATATATATATATAGATATATATAGATATACATAGATACACACATATATAAAGAATTTTGCTGCAAGCATCTAAAGCTCAAATAGATAACAGTTTGTAAAATAGAAAATTCTACAAGACTATAAATTTTTAGCTTATAGGTAGCTGAATTTTGTTTGCTACCTCTGAGCAAAGCCCCCTCCTCTCTCTAAATCTCACAGTTAAAATGATGGTTCAGTGTTGCTCACCGTTTCTTTACCAACATTTTTTAGTTAAGTACTCAAACACAGCAGACAAATACAATAAAGAAAATTCCAGTCCTTCATTGTACACATCTATTGTAATTCTAATATCTGCAAATAAAACTGGCTACATCTTGATGCTTCATAATATTACTGATCAGTGGTCTCCATCACTGTGTTTCACTCGGAGCTAAGGTCAGACTGCAGTCGTACACTTCATGCACAAGTAGTCTTCCATCTCATTACTTTCAGAAGAACCTCTTCTGACAGAAACAGACACTAAGGACACTAGGACTCTCCTCTAAACCAGTAAGAAATAAGATGCAACAACTGATTAAGCCTAAAAAACTGTCTTTGCTATTCTTGATTTAAGTGAACCACAAATTAAGCTTTTAAGTTATTCACTCTATAAATCTGGTCATAAATCTGAACATTAGAGCTTTTATTCGTATATCAATCGATTGCAGCAAGAGTTCAGTTAAAGAGAACTTCCCTTCGGCTACATGAGAAACCAACTACAACACTAATTTTTTATGAAAATGAAAGTTCACACTTCACATCCATTTTCTTTCCAAGAACTGCTAAGAAGAAACAAAGACAGAGGCTTAAGCTCTTCCATGCAATAGAATTCTCTGTCAATGTTGGGGTTTTTTTCCCTATCCTATACTGAGATGCCTACTCTGGTCTAGTTAACAATCTTGTGATTTGCTTTCCATATATTCTAAATGAGTGTTTTAAACATTTATCCTTTCAAATATTTTAGAAACTATTATCAAATCCACTATATTAGTGCAAAATAAAATTCCTCAAAAGGTAATATTTAATGGACCATCTCTTAAACTGAAACAAGCCCGTTTTTCCATAAAACCACCCTGTAGATTAACTAGACAAATTCTGTAAATGTAACAATGCCCAAGTCTACAAAGAGATTATTAGTTTTTTGTTTCTGTTGGTGGCTGTTTAAAAATTTTTTTTAATATCTGAATGGGACTCGTAATTGGTAACAATAGCTATTTTTAGCAATACAAGCTGGTTTGCAACTAACCAAAATGCAGTGGCAGGACCTATGGATGGTTCCCATTTCCAAAATCCTGTATAAACAAAACAGGATCTGCCTGTCACACCACTGGCACTATGAAAGCACTTGGAAGTCTTGTATCTGTAAGCATTATAGCCCCATTTTCTATTGGGAACCTTAGAACAAATTGTTAAAACTGCTGGTTTGCCTTAGCAGCAGGAAAAAAGGCAGACAAGGCTCCAAGTGTCTTCCTTACACAACCTAAGGCTTTTACCTACTCTTGCATGATTAGCAGCTCTATCTGGAATACCTTAACAAAAGAAAAACCAACCAAACAGGGTGATCAGCTGAGCATTGCTCTTACAGAGCCTTTTCCCAGAGCTACCACAAGCACGTGAAATGGAGCATGAAGAGCAGCATTGCAACAACAGGTCCAAAGCTACTGTACTGAGTAGCTGTACTCCCTGGTTTTGGTTGTGGCCACTGGAAACTCTTGAGGCAGAGCAAGGTTTAAAGGAAATGGTATTCTGGCCAAAGGAACGTGCTGCTTTCTTAAAGTCACTGCTGAGGACCAGTGAGACTGGGGACAACGAACACTGGAATCCAAGATCAGTTCTTAACAACTAAAGAAACGGATCTCTCTAACATCTGAGTGCCTCAGGTGGGAGCTAAGAATATGGTATTCTTATGTGATTAAAGGGAATTATAAATTGGAATAAAGGAGAATGAGAGAAAAAAAAAAGCTATCTACACTGTTTTTTCCCCTCTAGCAGTGAAGACTTACTGAGGAGTACAGCGTGTATCTGAGTGATATACCTAGTAAACCTGAAACCAAACCATTTTAAGATAGCATAATAAATATGCTATGTGAAGTTTAATTCTAAAATTACAATCAAATGAAGATTATTCTTACACCAAAATCAAAATCTGAAGTGGGGTGCATTAAGCAGCCTAAGAAAGCATCTGGGGCAAAATGACAGGGTTATAAACCATAAGTGGACTGGAAAGATATGACCTACAGTCCCTGCCTGCCAGCAGCAGGCATTATAAGAGTATGAAGCATTAAAATCTGACAAGAAGTTTTAAAGGCTCTCTCCTCCCTCCAAAAGCTGTGTGTTTATATCACTGTAATGCTCTTGGGCCCAAGCTGACTTATGAGCTGGATGACCAAACTGTTACGCAAGCTCAGGAAGCATGCCACTGGCCAAGACAGGCTGGGACCTTCAGCTTGAAAACTAAGGAACAAGCCTGCTTCTGGTCACTGGGGAAGGAACACAACTTCATCACCATGATTATTTTCCTTTTTTTTATGAAAAATAAATTACTTTGATAATTTGGGGTGTTTCTTACATTTAATATCAAGACAATAAAGATAACAAATGTTCTTACATTTGTCCTTTAATTACATTAGCCAAGCAAAAGAGAACAAATATTTGGAATTTTCTGCAAAAATACTTTTCCCACAGAAAAAGGGGAAGAGACGTTTGGGATAGAGGCGAGGCAGCTATCTTGTTGCTATACATGTATTTTAACCTAGTTGCAAGAGTATGCAAATTTTCCCTCTCCTACTTCACATTAAACATTACCATTCTTGTACTGCATTTTGCACATTTCTATTTTAATATAGGACTGAAAAACAAAAGTGATTTCAGGAATGTTGCTTAAAACAATTGTACTGTAATTGCTAATTGGTTTTTTGAATACTATACTGCTACTACGATTACCATCAATAAACCTGAATCTGCAAGTGGAATTATAAACTGAACCATAGGAGAAACTGACTCTTTCAACTTTGGTAAAAATATTTAGAATTATAACTTCTGTCAAAGAGGATCTGCAGGACCTCGAGTTTCATATGGACACAAACATGCCCTTGGGACAAAGGAGGCTAACAGCGTTGCCAGCAGGTCACAAAAGCTGATCCTCTGTCTCTACTCAGCCCTACTGAGGCCACATCTGGAGAGTTTGTCCAGTGTTGGGCTTCCCAGTACACAAGAGACGCGGAGCTCCAGGAGTGGGTCCAGCAGAGTGCAAGAAAAATCATTAAGAGATTGAAGCATTCATCATATGAGGGAAGGCTGAGGGATCTGGGACTGCTTGGCCAGGAGAAGAAAAGACTCATGGGTGTTTTCTTGGTGTATACAAATAGCTCAAGGGTGCAAAGAGGATAGACAGAGGCTCTTTTCAGTGGTGTCCAGTGAGAGCACCAGAGACATCGGACACAAGCTGAAACACAGGAACTTCCAACTGAACATCAGCAACCACTTTTTCACTGTGAGGGTATGACACAGATTATCCAAAGAAGTTGTGGAGTCTCCATCCTTGGAGAATTTCAAAAGCCATCTAGACACAGTCCTCAGTGAGCTGATTTAGGTGATCCATCCTTGAGCAGCAGGGAAGATGACATTCAGAAATGCCTTCCAATCTCAATTACTCTTTCTTCTCCTTAATAGCATATTTCAAAGCACAGCAATTTCAATGAAATACAACTTTGTAAATATAATCCATAAATACATGGGTTAATTTGTAAGAATTCATGATACTTTGAAGCAAGAGTTATCACTGTGAAAACTGCTATTTAAACACTTCTGACAAGGCTAAGGGGAAAAAAAAGGCGTTCTGAAAAATCGTGACACACTCTGCCATGAAATTAAACTACCTTTGCTGGCACCCAAGTAACAGCTCCAGGCTGGTCTCCAAATGTGAAATGGTCATGGATCAAGGATCTTTACCTTTGACTGGTACTTTACACACATACTTTGCTCCCTCCAATTTTGGTGCGATATACTTTTGTGTTTGTAGCCTTACCAAAAGAGCATACATGAACCACACTTGGCTTTTAAAGGCTCTTATTATCCAAACAGCTTAGCAGAAGACTTTATGATTCCCTGCTAGAGAAGTCCTCATGAGTACATACATGTCACGTACCAAAAGGTACTGTCAGACCACTAAGCTAAAGTCTGTTTTATTTGCAGACAGCATTTTTGAGTATTGACTCAATGTAGAAAGAAAAATAATGTCACCAACCACATGACCTTATTGGTACACTGCTGATATTATAAATCCTTTGTTAGTAAAGGTTTAGAGAATGAGTGCTACTGGCACAAAATACTAATGACTTACCTAAAACAGAAGGAAATGCAAATGTAGCACAAGTGCTAAAGAAGACATAATTTCCATCAAGAAAATGTATGACAGCATATCTTACTATTTTTTAATGAAGAGGATATTGCCATAATAACAGCTACTAAATGAGGCTCTGCTTAACATGACTGCTACCTGTCTCCTCTCGAATTTATATCAACGAATCAGAATATACACCAAACTCTTACACTGGGAGAATGCAAGATTTGTCAGATTTTTTCCTTTAAAAAGAGTCAAGAGGTATTCCTCACAATAAACAGCAAATGTACATGGCCTAGGAACTAGGTACTATGCCTAGGAAGTTTATTTCTGTGAGGAGTTTAGCAAGAAAAGACCTGGATTTCCAGGAGGAACTACAGACAAATGCTGATATATTTGGGATATTGGTAACCATACTGATTTAAACAAGAGCTTTGGATTTTGTCAAAAAACCTGAATGGAACATTTCTGCTCTAATAACGAACACCAAAAAACCAACAATACAAAATAAAACAATAAGAAGAAAATCTATTTATAGAAACCTGAGCTACCAAGCAAAATGGCTTGAACACAAAATGGCAAAAGGAAAAAGCTACATGGTAAACAGTATCATGTAATGAAGGGATAACTGGTATCCTGAAAGAGCCAAAAATACATGATTACCATTATTATTTAGTAGAAGAGGCTCATAAAACCTAAGAAGTTGAGAAGTTGTTTAACAGCACACCTACAATTCAAAAGGGAAAATGAGACACAAAGGAACAAAAGTCAAAATACTGTATTGCTCTCATGAAGTGTTCTCCTGGGCACAACGTAAGAATAATTATAAAAAAATTAAAAAGTAGGGATGGGTTTCTAGTGTTCCTATTTGAATACAGACAACTTAAGATTTATGCCCATGTAAAGTAACCAGTGCTGCAAGGAAGAATGGCTGCTGCTGTAAGCTCCTTTGCAAAGCACAAAAGCATATGTAGAATGGAGAAGCTGTTAAGATTTGAAAACCATCAAAATTACACAAAGTATGCAGTGACATTTGTATAAAAAACACTTCAGCCCTGTTCCCCAGCATCTTTTGTTTGGTAATTGTAGCTAGTTTCTATTACTTCTGTATGTCATCCATGAGGGCTGGTTAAATGAAGTAATATTTTATCACACTAAAGGAGATCACAACACACACTTGGATTCTACTCCTTTTAAAGAAACTGCCTTCTGAAGGCCTAAATTTTCATAATAGAAAGAGCTCTGTAACACCATCTGGTCAAGGCATATTATTTAGAATATGGCATCTAATATAAAATACACAATCAAATAAAAAATCCAAACAAACTTATTTTCCTTTCAATCCTTCCCCACAAAAATTAAAAATAATCAAAGTAACATTTAAAACTGGCTCTACAGGTTTTGGTCACATGTAGCAGAACTAAATAAATAGCACACTGGATGTAATTCCACTTTGTAGTAGTTTATGAGATAGGCTGGACATGGAAGATGCTTTTTGACCACTTCCACAGCTGCCTGTTCACAACAGAGAAGTGCTGGTACCAAGGACTTCCAGACTAAATTCCATCCAGTAAAGGCTGATGGGTAAAACTTGGTATTAAGTGGTCAGATCCTAGTACTCATGTACCCTCCAAGTTTAACAGGTTTCTTCCAACAACCCTAAATTTGCCTCATTTTTAAGAGCTGACAGCCATAACTCCAGAAATATTCACCTTCTGTTTTAGCCTCTCTTCCCTTCTCTGCATATATTCTTAAAGATTTTGCTTCTTCTTTACCTCTGAACAGCTGAAGATCCAAAGGAATCTCTCCATTCCATTCATAGAACTGTTTGTACCCTCTTAAGTCTGTGAAATAATTACTTGTTTCTGACCAAGCTGTTGGACACTGATACCATGTATTAATTCTGATTTGCTTAAGATGGAAACGTGTAGAGAAAGATGGAAGAGCCACAAATGAAACAAGAGAAAGAGGTTTCATTTGGGTTTTTTTAAGTGAGAAAAAGTTACTTTTCAAGGTTCTTTCCAACCTTGCAAAAACAAAGAAACATCTAAAGAAATGATGGAACACAAGCTTTTCAGTTTCTTGAGCTCTTCAGCAAACTTAGGACAAGCACAAGTCTGCAGCCTAGGGCAGGTTCCACTGAAACTAAGACAACTTGACACTTCCAGTAAATTTTCTCAGACAACACCATTCAGTCTAGATTTTTATTTTTATTTTTTTAAATGAAGTTCATAGATTCAGTTGCGCTTTTCATTTTACTGGGAATGACAATGATTACTGCAGTTTAGGACAAAAATTTATGGAAAGATTTTAGGTAATATTCGTATCTGAAAAGGGCAGAATTCTCTCTTCTTGCACAGCCATTTTCCTCCAGTCTTATATGCTCACAAAGGCCAAGTATGAAGTATGCAAGTGCAATTAGATCACACTC